CTCTGAACATGCAGTCCCCCCGCCTGGTGCAGAGCAGCCTGGCTGGGCAGGAGGGAGCGGGGCAGTCTTGTCTACACCAGGGAGCTCGTGCACAGTCTGGATGGTGGAGAGACCTGGTGGGGTCATTCTCCAGCCTCCCGCTGCCCGGGTGCGCAGCCCCTGCAAGCTGGCGCTCGAGGGATGCAGCCCCAGTGGTTTATAGCACCCACGGGGACCAGAGTGCAAGAGTGACCATGTTGACAACCTAGAAGCGAGTCGGACATTTCTGATTTCAATTTCACTTTGCCCGTGAAAAGTATCAAATATTCCCTGCCATTCATTTTTATTTTTATAAATACAAAATTTGCCCCCTGCGGCTGCTAGAGTGCAACCAACCGGCCTCCCCAAAGTGATGACCGTCGTCTCGTCCAGCGCTTGTTCTCAGTTTTGCACCAGGATCCATTAGTTCATGTGGATGGTCAGTCCTGACCCCGTTCCCCCTTACTCCCGACCGGCTGCCGGTGTGGGGCCTGGGATCGCCCTAGGACTAGGCAGCATGGGCTAGTGGTGGGGGCAGGGGACTCCTGGGTTCCCCTTCCAGCTCCGGCAGCGCTGTCTGCTGCACAGGGGCCTGTTTGGGAGGGCTTGGATAGGCGTGATCCTGCCCCCAGCAGCGGGGCGGACCGGTTTGCTCCGGAGGTTTGCTTCCCGCCCTGCTTTTCTATGACTCTGAAGCTGGGGGTGGGAGCCAGGGCTCCCGGATAAAGCATGGAGGCAGGGGGCAAGTCCATGCAGCTCTGCCTTGCTCCCTGCCAGCACAACGTGGGCTAATGCTATGAGCCTGGCGGGGAGCGGGGCGGTAACAGGGCGCCTGCCACAGTCTGGATTAACGCCTAGGCAAACCAGGCCCGAAGTGAGGAAGGGGCCCAGCTGTGCCCGCGTTGCATACGATCGTTACTGAGGAGGAAAAAAAAAAAGTAGCACAAATATACTGCATTAAGTGGGGCCCGCGAGTTTGTTTGCCTGGGGCCCACGAAAGGGTTAATCTGGCCCTGGCCGCAATCAGGAAACCGGCACAGCCGGTATGGGTATCGCCCTTTTTATTCTGGCATGAATAAGAGATGGGGCTCGCCTCCAGGGCAGCTCCTGCAACCTCCCCCCGGGGGCAGGGCCCAGGGAGGAGGGAAGGGGGGGGGACCTCCCAGGGGGATGCTGCAAAAAAAAAGCGGGGCAAAAAAAACCCGGGGCAAAGCAAACGCAAGTGGCATGCGCCGGAGCAAACCGAGGCTCGGCGCTCCGGGGAGACGCTCTGGCTGCCGGCCAGCGCGTCTCTATGCTCCGTTTGTGCCGCTGCTGCTCCGGCACGCTGCGTGGCGTGCTGGAGCAATCAGAAGTGCAGCAGAGCTCGCAGCTTCCTGCCGCCGAGTCTGCCTGGCAGCCGGGGCCTGGCTCGGGCCTGCACGGGAGCCCGGGGCCGGCGGGACTGCGGCGCAGCCGGGCACGTGGGGCAGCCGCGCCCGCAGCCCAAGCCAGCTGCAGGCAGCCGGGAGCGGCAGGAGGCCCTGTGGTTTGCTGCGGGGACCATGCCTGACTCTGGGGAAGGGAGCCAGGCGCAGGGCTCGGCCCAGGCCCGGCACCGGGGACCCGGGTGGCGGCACGAGGAGGTGATCGACCTTCTGGCTATCTGGGGCCAGGAGACCACGCTGCGGCAGTTCGCGCAGGGACAGCAGCGCAACGAGCACATCTACCGGGCGATCGCCACGCAGATGGCCGCGCGGGGGCACAGCAAGACGTGGCAGCAGTGCCGCACCAAAGCCAAGGGGTTGCGGCAGGAGTTTTACGCCGCGCGCGGTGCCAGCCGGCGCTCAAGGACACAGCGGTTCCCCATGCCCTACTACCAGGAGCTGGCCCGCATCCTTGGCCTCACGGCCACCAAGCCCCCCAGCTACCCCGGTGCCAGCAGGGGAGGAGCGGAGCCAGTGGCAGCCGGCCCAGTGCTCCAGCCTGAGTCCCCGGGAGCGGGGCCCTCTGCCAGGCCGGCCGCCCCTCTGCCGCCCAGCCATGCCGGGAGCAACAGCGAGGAGGGACGTGCACCACAAGTGAGAACCGCTGCCGTGGCCAGCCCTGAGGCCAGACCAGAGCCGCAGGTCCCCCAGCTCCTGCGGGACGGCGACAGGAGTGGGGAGGATCTGCCCGCGGCGTCGCGCTGGTCGGCGGAGGCCTCGCCCCCATCGGAGGTCACCTCTGGCTCCAGCTCCCCCCAGCCACCTGGGGACCAGGACCCACTGTCTCCCAGCCGAGGTGACTGCCTCTCCCCGAGGCCCGGTAAGTCCCGCACACGGCGTGGGGACATGGGAGCCTCTCCCCACCCCCCTGCCCTTCCCTTGATCCCGGGGGTTGTGCCCTGCATGTGCCCCAAGCTCGCCTCCACCATCTCCCTCCCTCCCCCTCCGAGCCCTGCTCCTCCACCATGCAGGGGCAGGACTCTCACGAACAGGGGGGAGGTGGCCTCGCCACTGGGGCCACGTGCCCGTCGGGTTGAGCTCCACACTTGCTGGAGCCTGGGGCTCGTGGCAATGCTGCATCTATCCTGGTATGCTCGGTGCTGCAGGCTGGGGCGGCTCTGACGCTTGTCCCCAGGAGGATCCCTCCGGGCAGGACCCCGGGCAAGTGGGGGGCACCCTTTGGGCAGCAGGATGCCCGCGCACATGGTGGGAGGGGACGGGATGGGTCCTCGTCAGGGTGCCGACCCCGCATTGCTCCGTGTCCCCTGCGCCTGAGCGTGAGGCTGCTCCCCCGTTCTCGCCCCGTGCCCTGTTGCTGTGGCTGACGATGACCCCGCGTTTGCTCTCTCTACAGACACCCCATCTGCCCGGGGAGAGCCCACCGCGCAGAGCCGGGGAGCTGCCCGCCCGCTCTCACGCACACCGGGGGCCATCCGGATGCGCCGCCTGCGCCGGGAACAAGACGCGCGGCGGGACCGCATCCAGGAGGAGCTGCTGCGGGCGGAGCGGGCACGCCTCCGTGAGGCCCAGGCCTTCCGCCAGCAGGTCCTGGCCGAGCTCCGCCACTTCCGCCGCGACCAGGCCCTTGCCCAGGAGGAGGCACAGGCCGGCAGGGCGGCCCTGCAGCAGCTCGTGGCAGAGATAAGGCAGGAGCAGCAGCTGGCCCAAGACAGCTACGAGGAGCTGCGGCAACTGCGGGCCTCCATCAACTCAGCCGTGCAGGAGGAGCGCAGGGTGTCGCAGCAGCTCCTGGCCGCCATCCCTGCCCCAGCCGCTCCTGTCGCTGCGCCCCAGCCTGTGCCAGCCCCAGCCCCAGCTCCGGTGCAGGCTCCTGCGCCCCCCCCAGCAGGGGCAGGGCCTGTCTGGGAGCATTTTGCCTGGCTGGTGGCTCAGCTGGCACCCCAGCAAGCCCCACGGGCCCGCCGCAGCCGTCGAGGGGCACCTCTCCTGCCTTCCCCTTCCCGGTCCTGGGCCTAGCTGCAGCATCTGCTTCTGAGAAGGAGCGCCCGTCCTCCTCCCTGGCCAAACTGGCACGGCCACCGCACACAGGGTGGTGGCACGCATGGCCAGGGCTCAGGGCCGAGGGGCTGCCAACCTGTTTCCCTCCTCCCCTGGTGTTTCCCCCTAAGGACCTGCTCTCCTCCCCCTGGTTCTTTAGTAATGAGTTGCGGTTTAATTCTGGTTTTGAATGGGTTTGTGCAGGGGAAGGGGGGTGGGGGGTGAATGGTCTCACGTGGGTACTGCTGCAATGCTGAGCTGTTGGCAGTGGGGAAGTTCTGGGGAAATGGAAAGGCAATAAAGTTGCTTTTGTTTTCACAACAGCCACACTACCTGCGTTGTTGCGGTCCTGGCAGTGGGTGGAGATGGAGGCCCCTGGGTGGGCAGTGGGCAAGCTGGTGCCCTACTCAGCAGGGTGGGCCTGCAAATGGGCAGCGATGGCCTCATGCCTTCTGCCACCATCATCGGGGGGTGGTCCTCACCTGCGATGACGCTCCTGGCTGGCTGGCTCTGCTGCCCCTGGACGCGCCGGGAGACACGCGTGGCTGGATGCAGCCCTGGGGCTGCAGGTCCGAGGTGGAGAGGATGCTGGAGCAGGTGGCAGCGCATCTCAGCAAGGCGGCAGTGCCCGCAGTGGGTACAGGGGACACTAGGTCAGGGCTGCTGCATCAGTCCAGCTGGCACAGGGAGCTAGTGTCCCCAGACTCCAACTGGCCTGGCTCGAGAAGCTCCTGGGGGCAAATAGCCCTGAGCGGCTTGTGAAGCCACTGGTTTATACAGCACAGGTGCAAGGAGCCAGGCAAGGGCAGCTTGCCCAAAGTGGCACAACTTGTCCCACGACAAAGTGCACGTTCAGGCACATGCGTGGAGGCACAAATTTGTGCTACTACAAGTGCACGTCCCCGCACGTGTGGACGTAACTCTATAGGATAGTTTAGATAGGGCTGATCCCACCTTGAGCAGGGGGCGACCTCCTGGGATCCCTTCCAGGTGTACTTTTCTTCTGAATCTACGATCTTTGTTGTGTGCCATTATTGGAGGAGCTTCCCAATGAGGAGAGGCTACAGAGGCTTATTCAGCTTAGAAAGGAGACACTTGCGGGGGGAGCCGGGGGGGGCGGGAGTGTCATGATAATGGCTTACAAAATACTATATGGCGACAAGTAGATAGAGATTTAATATTTACTCTAAGAATTAAGGGTCATAAAATAGGCAGTAAGGTTAAAGCTAATCAAAGGTAAGTTCTTTGTCACCCAGCGTGTCATTAAAGTGTGGAACTCATTGCCACAAGATGTGGAAGTTGACAGTCTTCAGGAGCGGGCCATTATTTCGGGCGGAGGGCCGCTTACTGAGTTTCAGCAAGCCATCGAGGGCCGCACGACAGGCAGCCCTGGGCAAATTAATATTAATTTCTAAATTTTTCAGGGGCCCTGTGGGCCGGACAAAATGGCCTGGTGGGCCACATCTGGCCCGCAGACCGCATTTTGCCCACCCCTGTTCTAGCTGGATTCAAAAACGGGACTGGACATATACTCAGCGGAAAGGGTGGTCTCCTATGGCCCAGCCTGACCCAGTAAATGGCAGGTTTTATGTTCTGCATCGCGTCAATCTGTGTTTTGTGTTTGTGCAGCACTTTGTACCACGGGGACATGGATCCCACTGTACAATCGTCTTCCAGGGAACAGAGTTGAGGACCCAGCCGATGAAGATGAGACGCCCGAAGACAGAGAGAGATCAGACCACAACTTTAAAAGTCAGAACTTTTTTTTTTCTTTTTTTTTCTTTTTTTAATATGTCATCAACTTTACAGGGTTACAATTGTCTTAAATATTCTGAAGTTTAAATACAATCTGTATAATAATGTTATTATAAAATGTAAACTTTCAGTGTTTTTATTTTATTCTTTTTTTCTTTTTTTTCTTTTAATAATCAAAGTTCCAACACCTGAATGTTTGCAAAACTGAAATATTTCACTGCAGGAACCTGGGAACAGTGAAGTCCAGGTCCCGCCGCTATCAGAGGTAGAATGTGGTTTTTATTTTTTTATTTTTTGTTTTTTATATATATATTCTTTTTTTTTTCCTGAGTTAAGATATGCACACTGTATAAATGCATCGGCAAGCTGTGTTCATTCCTTTTTTTTTTTCCTTTTCTAACCCCAGAGAAACTGATTTTTAATCGATATGCAAGAGAGAGAGAGAGAAATAAAAGCTGAATGTAATACGCTCTCAAAAAAAAAAAAAAAACAACAAAAAACAAAAAAACAAGGGGAGGGGGGAAAAAAACCCCAACAGTGACTGTACAAATGCAAAACTACTATAGAGCTAAACGCACCCCCCCTCCCCACCCCCAGCACAAGAACAAATGACAGGAAGAGTATCTGGTCAAGGTAGTCAGGCCAGCCCTGAAAGTGGCATCTGATAGTCCTAGCAGCAAAAAGCCCCGTGCCATCTTTCCAGACAGGCTTTCAGAAGCAGGTGGATGGGATCAGATGACCCCTGGGCTGGAGATCTGGGGGGGGGGGGGTCGGCCAGGCAAGGGAAGGAGCTTTCCGTCTGGGGCTGCATGGCCTGTCCCTGCTGGATCCCACCCTCCTCCATCCAGCCTGCAAGGGGACGAGGGGCAGCAGCAAGAAGCGGCGGCAGTGACGGTCCCTCCCCGATGGAGAGGCCAGCGGTGCCCTCGCTGACCACCCCCCAGATCTGTGGCATGGGGTGCTGGCAGCCCCACGCCCCAGCCCAGCATCTCAGTAGTGCTCAGGGCAAGGCATCCTCGTGGTGCTCCCGCGGCCCGATGGCAGGAGACTGAGGCCTTGTGCTACCCTGGCCGGAGCCCCCTGGTCCCCAGCCCAGAAGCCGGTTTCCCCCCCTCCGCGCTGGGCAACTTTAAGGCGAAAAAAATCGGGGCGAAGAACCGGGAATTCCTGCCCCCGTCCCTCTCCCTGACTGGAACCTTGAAATAAATGACACAGCGAGCGCAGCACCGCCCTGCCCTGCTCCCGGCCCCCCTCCCCAGTACAATCTGAGCGGACAGCAGGTCCTTGTCCCCTGAGTTACAATCCTGGCTCTTTCCTCAAGAGCTCCGATTGCATTAGAAACACGTTTTACACTAAAAAGAGGAGGGTTTTCCTTGTTCGGCTTTGGGGGTTATTATTTTTTTTCCTTTGCTTTATACACACACGCAAACACACACAATATATAGAATTTGATATAGAATTTCTCCCCCCCGCCCCGCCACCCGCGACCCCTTTCTAAGGCTCCTTCTTATACACAGAATAGCAACGCGCTCCTGTCTCGCTAGGATCCGTTTCGAGCGCAGGCTCGGAGGGCAGCAGCGAGGGCCGATGCCCCTGCTTGCCCAAAGGTCTGCGGAGAAGCGAGGTTGGCGCCGGCTGAGTGATTCTGCGCTAACGGCCGGCTCCCCTCCGCGACGCCGGATTTGGAGGCACTCCGGTCCGTCCCTTTCGGAGGGATCGGGGAAGAGGTTTGGGCACGGAGGCACGCGGTGGGAGGATGTCTCTTGGCTTGGTCTAGATGCCTGATGGATCTGGCTGCCAGGACAGGGGCTGCGTCTCATCTCAATGGTGTGGCAGGATGATTTTGGCTGCCGGCTCTAGGCTCGGGTGAGTTT